GACCCCGAGTGAGAGTTGTCATGTACAGGTTATAGTCCGAGTGCTCCAAGTGTGTGCTGCCTGTCACTAAGAGAGAGAGTCCGAAAGAACCGCTCGTGTGGCTCCTTCAGGATACTCAGATACCCATTCACTCTGAACTTGCAAGGTGCGAGGCCATGCGGCCGCAAGGCTGGCCGGAGGTTCTCTTCTGGCTTCTCTGGCTTTGAGCTCTTCGCCAAAAGCATAAGGCTTTTTCTGGACTGGGCAATCGTCGGAGTTGCGAGCGTCTTCTTCACCAGGCTGTCACTACTTCTTTGGAGGGTTGGTCTGAGCCTACAAAGGTGTGAGGCCTGGGGGAAGGGTGCGGTGGTGGCAGTGCTGGTTCTTACTGGCGTGGCGTTGCTGCTGCTTGTCTGGATTCCATTCGAGCTCTCCATGTTTGCCACGAGCGAGACGAGCTTGCTTCCGCTCCTTCCTTTCCTTGGAGCCCTGGTGGCCACCTTCGGCATCTTCTCCCTGGGTGGCCTGCAACAGACCGAAGAACACGAGCACTGCTGCAGCGGCCTCAGGAAGCGGCGCCCCAAAGCTGCCGATGATGCGTATAATGGAGTCAATGATCAATGACTGTTGCGGTTGCTGGCGATGGTAGTGATGATGGTGGTGATGAATGTGATGATGATGTTGATGAATGTGATGATGGTGTTGATGAATGTGATGATGATGATGATGACACATGAGGCAGCCGCGGCGGATCCTTCGGTGACTGCAGTCGTTCTAACCATGTTGCTTGTCGTCGCATGCCGGACCTCGCTGTTCTTCTTGCTCGTGCTGCCCAGGCCCTCCCGGAGACATCGTTGATCGCCAGGACAGCGAAGGATCGACCTTTCAGATTTAAGAATCAGAGACAACAGGAGCCCAAAGGTAAGCGGCCCCAAACACTGGCCCCTCAGTCTTACAAATCCTCTATAGTTCGAAACCCTAAGCGGCTGGAAGAGCCTTGCTGCGGTTCGTTCTCCTGACACTTCCGGAAAGATCCCGGAAGGAAGTGACCCGGTATGTGCCACGGGTGCTCCGGCCAGGGCTCTCTCCGTGAAAAGAAACTGGGGGGAGCACCCATCACGGCCACATTTTCCCCGCCCCACCCTCGTTACAAATCGTAACAGGGAGGGCGCTTTGAAGGGCCGTTCGCCTGGAGTCGTTGTCGACGCGTTGGTCAGTAGACATTCCCTTGACTAAGCTCGCCTTGTTCGGCACTCCTGCGCAGGCTTTCGATGTGGTGTTTTGCGAGACATGTCTTGCAGGCAGGATGTTCGAGAGTAGCGGGAAAGATTCCTGCATCCTCACTCAAGCGGCTGCTGAGTCAAAAGGATAGTCTGTCTTGTCGCTCACAGAAAGAGGCCGCCACCTCTTCTCCAACGAACGCTTTGGGAAGAACAGGGGAAGGTAGGGGCACCCCTACGGCTGCAACCTCCCACTTGCCGGACTTATAGAGCCTGTGAACGAAACTCCGCACCAGCCCCGCCCTCCGGAGCTCCAAAGCCCCGGAAACTGGGCCCTGAAGAAGCCCTTGGCTCCGCGTCATCATTGCCACGGGCTGCCTCAAGACTCAAGAAGATACAAAATAGTAAGATGTGAAATAAGACATCGGAGAGCCACGCAGTGAAGACAGAGAGCAGCAATACGCTGATGCCATGGGAATTTTGTTTTGGAGCCTGCTGGTCCTGGCCGTGGCTGTTGGCTATGCTGTGATATCTGCCCGGGGGCGGTCCTACAGGACGATCACTCTGCAGAGTTTGAGTTATTTCTCCCGACCCCACGATGGTGAGATCAGGATGGATCCCATCGGAGGACGGGCAGCGTGGCTCGGGGGGGCACTTGAGCCCAAGGATTGGATGGTCACTTTAACGGCCCAAGATGCTGAGGACCTTGACCTAGAAATTCAGCGTCTGGAGAAGAGTGGCAAGAGCATCGACCAGTTGCGAAGATCAGATCTGCAATGTTCGGACAGGTTCATTGCCAAAGTTGACTCTTGGCGCAATGAGCTGAACCCGAGGCAGCACGATGGCCTTGGCTTTGTGGTAGTGCGTGGAGTGCCCACGCATCGGTGGACCGAACATCAGTCGGAGCTCTTCTTTTGGTCCTTGGGTCAATTGTTGGGCATTCCTGGTGCCCAGTCTGGGCGTGGAGAACTTCTGGGGCACGTTCGTAATGAGTACCATGGGCAGAACACAACGGGCTTGCACGAGCGCCAGTACCGCACTAATGAAGACATCTTCTTCCACTGCGATGCCGCCGATGTGGTCGGTTTGCTCTGTCTGACACCTGCTAAGAAAGGAGGTGCCTCTCGGATCGCCAGCAGTGTTACAATCTACAACGAGATTCTCAAAAGGCGACCGGACCTCATCCCTCGATTGTACGAGGATTTCTACCTGGACACCCGCGGCGATGGAGGCACCAGGTACGTGCCCGTCAGGCCTGTCAGCTATTACAAGGGGGATCTCAAGACCTTCTGGCACACCGGCTACTATCGATCGGTCTGGGACTACGACTTCATGCCTGAAATCGATGCTACGACACTGGAGGCGATCAAGGTGTATGACGAGATTGCTAATGACCCAGCCATCCAGCTCACCATGCAGTTCCAGCCGGGAGACATTCAGCTGCTGAGCAACCACTACATCGTCCATGCCCGTGGGCCCTTCGAAGACGAGGACGACCCCAAACTCCGGCGACATTTGCTCAGGCTCTGGCTTTCCCTGGAGAACCGAGAGAAGGACAGCAGAGAAGCGCTTTTCAAGGAAGTGGACCGAGCCAAGCTCGTGTCCAAGCTCATTGCGGTTAGGCTGCGGAACCTCGCGTCCAAGCTCGGAGTGCTAGCGTCCCCGCTTTGACTTCGACGAAAAATCGGCTCTCAAACTCGTGGGAGATGAGATAAGCATCAGCAACCGCCACGAACGGAAATCTAAGCTCTAGGCCTGGGCCTTCAGCGTTGGTTCTCTAGCTGTTCTGGGCCTTGTCCAGCCTCTGACAGGCTCGGCGCAGCTCTGAACTCCGCGCCTTTCGAGGCAACGATGTTTTCAGCGATGTGCCGACAACAAAGAGACACTCTGCTCTGTTCTTCGAGCATGTGGGTAGAGATCCGTGCTTCATCTGTGCAAGAGATACATCCGGATGTGCCAGCGATGCATGTGCGAGTGTTTCATGTTCGCAGTTGCCTGGATGTGAGCCTCTCGAATCCCTATACAATCACTGCCAGATCACTGCAGCCCAAAATCCTTCAACCCTGGCCCCAAACCCGAAAAAATGCCCCTTCCCGCTGTTGCACACACCACTCCGCTTCGCCGTCGCCGCATCTGGGCTCGGGAGCGGCCGCGTGTCGCTTCCAAGGGAGCCGGCCACGAGCGGGCCCCGAGAGGCAAGGATTCCAGGGGAGGGCAGAGCGAAAAATAAGACGGGCAGAAGGGCGGAGTTGTGCTGTTCTACTACTACTACTACTACTACTACTACTACTACTGTTCTTATTGCTACTGACACTAATATTAGTATGTACGTTATGACTATTACTATTACTTGTAGATCTTCGATCCGTTTGGCTTGTCGAAGCCAAACGCCGTTATGTGCAGTGCCTGCTTCAAACACACTTTGCCAAGGTCCCAAAGTTGTCAGCACATACATTCGCAGTGCATTGGTTCCAGTTCTTGCAGCAGCACCCGCGACCCAGGTGTTGTGCAGTGTGCAGCCTTCCAAAGCTTTAGGCCGGCGGCCGAAGATTCGTATCTGCGGTTTGCCAACGTTCCAGTTGAAGGCGAAGAATACAGCCTTTTCAAGTCTCATGATCAGACAGATCGCCTCAGGCAATCCTGCACCTTAACATTCGAAACTCTTCAACCCAAAGCCCCACAAGCCCTCTCGACTCGGGCACACGTCGAGCATGGGCTACCAACTAGCAACCGCAAGTGAGGCCCAGATGGAAACGGGCTTTCAGCAAAAAAGGCAAGCTCTAAACCCCAGGCGCTGGATGACCAGATCCTAACTGAGCTGCAAGGCCGCCATGCCTGTGCTTGCGTCGGGAGCCGCCGTGCGGTCGCCCAGAGTCTTCAGTGGCCAAGCCTTCCTGGTTTATGAACGACACTGATCATGACAGTGTCATTGTCCGCCATGCCTACGGCAATGGCACTGAGTGTGACAGTTGCAGTAAGGAGTCCAGAATGACAGTAACTTTTTCTGGTTGCACGGGTTCACCCGATCTGACTTGGGCAGCTGTTCGGGTATCTACCGTACGTGTCTTGTCCGATAGTGAAGCGTCCGTCTCGGTGTGTCCTTATTCCCAGAGCAAACGCTAACTCTAACTCTACCTTCTCGGTTCCCTTTGGTGCTCTGAAGATTCTGAGGCTTCGGCGGCAGCAACCGCAGCAGCCACCGGCGCCTTCACGCCCTTTGCCAAAGTTTTCAGTGTCTTGAGCACTCCGGACGGTCTCCATTCAGTGGGGAACAGCCGCAGACCACTTCTGCAGACCACGTCTCAAGAGTCAAGAAGAAAGCTCTTGCCTAGAGGGCGCTTCCGTCCGCAGTCTTTGTCATTTGGGTTGACTGTTCCTTCGCTCAGCTCAGGTACAACCGAGCCAACTACCTCTTTGATGCCGGCCTTCGATTCTCCCGGTACACAGCTGGGTACAACTTTGCCATGGCACAGGCGGCCAAGGGCGGGAAGTTGACTTCTGAAATGGCCGGGAGGAGCGCTTCTGCGACGGGGAGTCAGTGCAGCATGAATTGAAGCACAGGCAACGCAGTACCGACAAGATATCCGAGATCTTACAGCCCTGACCGTTACCAAGATGGTACAGAGCTGAGATGCTGCCACACTGGGGCACATGATGACTGCTAAGTGTTCTTCTGTTGTGCCGACGCTCTATTGCTGAGCAGATTGTGCCTTTGTTTGCGAGTGTCTCAAGCTCAGGATACCTACCATGTGATCGGCGTGATCTTTTTCGTGTTGAATTTCCAATTGATCATGGCTGGACGTCCGGGATCCTACACCGAGCGTCTGGAGCGCACAGGGACGCGTGTCTTCTGATCGACAGATGTGAGACGGAGCCCAACGACTTCTCAGTGCTCGACTTTCCAAGGTCTCGGCGTCCACGGCCCATCCCCTCCTGGGTATATCATGGGCCAGGACCTCAGAATTATGCGTGACGTCTTCAGCCTTCAGCTGTTGGGGCTGTTCGACTAGGCCACTGAAAGCTCTAACTTCCGGCTTTGTTGATCGTGATCCCGGCTCAGGCATCTACTGGGTGTGCTCCACAAGTGCCTGGCCCTTGGCTCTTGCTGCCTAGGCCATGAAGTCTGGAAGCAATTTGCGCCGTGCCTACGAGGCTCTCATGTTCCTCTGCGTGCTCATTTGGTTCACCCTGCACGTGCCGGCCCCGGGAACGCCCGGAAACTGTACATGGCGAAACCCAACACCGCAGGCCTTGAACCCACAAGATATCACGGCTCGCATCCCTCTTGTCTCACCTGTGGCTTCATGTCAACCTTACACGTCTCGTCGTCTTCGTCGTCGTCCATTCGGCACCACAGACGCGAGCAGCCTGAATCTCAGCACCATCCGCCCTCCTGCGTGCTCCTTCATCCTCCAGCTCCTTCTCCCTCCTCCATCATCATCAGCAGCATCACCACTCTTCTCTCGTCTTCGTCTTCGTCTTCGTCTTCGTCTTCGTCATCGTCCTCATCACCCCATCGACATCACATCAAACCGCCATCGCCATAACCATCCTCATCACAATGGGCATCGTCACAGGAATTGTAGTCTGCTGCGGCCTTACAGGAGGCTTCTCCGGTTGAGATTTTGGAAGCTCGTCGGAGCAGTGTTCCAGAGACGATGGTTCCTTTGGGCACAGTGCTTGGCTTGTGCTTGAAACCTGATGCTGAACATTGAGGCATCAGCTCGCGCCACCGCTGGCATGGCCCACATGTTGACGCGCAGCGTGGCATCCTCTGCTGGTCTTTGCTCAGAAATTCTTCGGGCCTTTTGTGTTGAGACGTCATGCTTGCAGAGATCACACGAGTTGTGCGATCCCTAAACCTTCAACCCCAGGAGTTGCCGTTTTTTCTTCCAAGGTGCGTCTGCCCATCCCTACACCCAAGCAGCTTGACAAGGCCCGCAGTTGCCAAGTCCGTGTTCCATGCTTGCGCGATGGTGTCGTCGCCGTCGAGATTACCTAGGATGCCAATTATTTGTTTCTTGGGGCGTCAGCAGTGTGAAGATTGTTTGCACGGTTGCACCGAGAGACGTCGGTGCCAGCAGCTTCAGATGCTACCCCCAGACTTTGTACCTAGGACCTTCGCTATGCAGCGATGTAGAGTCGTGCCCGACGTAGAGCATGCGCAGGCGCGACGCACTGGAAATATGTCGCTTGGACAAGAGCAGCTCCTGGGATGGGGCTGGGCGGCGCATGCAAAGCACGCATTTGGATTTCTGTAGTCCTGTTGTTGGGGAGCATTGAGGGGTGGAGGGGGTTTGCCGCCGGCAAAAGCACACTAACACAGTTTCAGGTTGACATCTTGGTGTATGGTGTAGCTTGACAAATCAGGTTTCGTCGGAAGTTTTCCCACCATTTCGATGGGGTGGGTGAGAGGGCGGAAATCTAGTTTCCTCGGAACAGCGCATACAAAGTGGTTGCACACATGCTTGCATGCGCGCATGTCGGTCTTGCTAGCTGGCTGTCTATCTGTCCGCATGCATGGATAGATGGATGCATGCATGGATGGATGCATGTATGGATGGATGGATGGATAGATGGATGGATGAACGGCTGCATGCATGCATGCGTGCATGCTAGTGGCTGCTCGTGGCTGCACAGCCTTCCGATCGGCTTGAGTCAAGTGGGCTTGAGCCACTGAGGTTTGAGAAGCAACGGGTCACGGACGTCTTCCGAGTTCCCTTCGTGGTGCCTGCACCCAAGGCGGTCTGGGCTTGGGAAAGGGAGTCGCTCCTTCTTCTGACATTCTCTAGTCTCTTTCGAGCGGTTTGCCCCTTCTTCTGAAATTCTCTGGTCTCTTCCGAGCGGTTTGCTCCTTCTTCTGAAATTCTCTAGTCTCTTTCGAGCGGTTCGCTCCTTCTTCTGATGGTCACTAGTCTATTTCGAGCGGTTTGCTCCTTCTTCTGAAATTCTCTAGTCTCTTTCGAGCGGTTTGCTCCTTCTTCTGAACTTCTCTAGTCTCTTCCGAGCGGTTTGCTCCTTCTTCTGAAAGTCTCTAGTCTTTTCCAAATGCCTGGCTCCTTCTTCTGAACCTTCTTCTGAAATTCGCTAGTCTCTTTCGAGCGGTTTGCACCTTTTTCTGAAGTTC